GTCATCATTTACCCAGAATGCTTTGTGTGTAAATAAAATGGCTCCATCCGTGTTAAAATATATTTTAAAAATTTTACAAAAACTAAACAGCCTACAGTATTTTTACAGTCTTTATTTTACAGTTAAATATATGTTTATCAAATAAAGTTTAATGTTACAACTAATCAGGGATCCCTTTAATTTAAACTTAGCTTTGTCTTGCTAAATTTAGCTTTTTAGCACTGAGTTATTTTGACATTTAGCTAATATTTTGCTAAATTTATTTTATAGTTACTGTTGAAAAATGTTTTCAGTTTCTGTTTTATTGGTCTTAGCTTTTGACCATTGTTTACCTGATTTTAACATAATGCTATTATTTTGCTAATTTTCTGCATTTGGCTGTTGTTTTGCAAGTTTTTACGTTTTGGTACTGTTTTGTTCCTATAGAGTTTAGTTTTAGTCTTGTTTACTTAAAGGGGACCTATTGTGCAAAATTCACTTTTTAAAGGTTTTTTTTACTCAACTTTGGGTAGGTACTTCTTAAAAAAACAGTCCTAGGACCAAAAAAAATGCACCCAGGGGCATATTTACTGTAAGTAAATGTATTTTAAATGTATATTAACGACAAGTTTTATACTTGCGTTATTTTGTGATGTCACAAGCCATACGATAACCCACCTGAACCTGCGTTCAGCCCCTTACCTAGCTACCCCCGGGTGAGACTCCTCCTCCTCAGTATAAAAAGCTGTCACAGTGTTGTTGTGTAATGTGTAGCTCATTTCACAACAAGCCTCCAACAGGGCAATGGGTAGAGTGGGAGACCAGGGTTTGAGACCGGCACAGACACACTTTAATTATTGATTTATTTTTGTTCGTTATGAACACTTTTTTCTCACGTACCTCTATTGTTTAACTTATTAAAGCCTTGTTAAAGCTTATTTGTTTGAGTTTCTGAGGTATTTTGACCGCTGCTGCTCCCTGCTCTGGTGACAGCATGCAGAGTGAGCGCAGAGCAGAGGAGGGGGAGAAAAAAAGAAGCTGCGACCGACTCTGCCTCTGGGTCTCATATGGTTGTACAACGGAGCTTCTGCTATTATTAGCCATGCTAACATAAACGCTGGCTTTGTCAACAGATTTTTGGAGGGCGTTACCAACAGAGCTCATTAACATAAACCAACACATTCTCACTCCCGAGTCGTCACATATTGACGTTTTTCAAAGGTCCCTTTGCGTCCAATTTTGACGCATCAGGTACCCCCCTCGCGTCAGTCCTTGCCGCCCGCGGCTTTTCCGGGTTGCGCCACCAGGGGTCTTTGGGTCGGGGGTCTGAGGTTAACATTAGGGATCAGGATAAATGGTTAAGTTTAGGGACTGGGGTCAGGGATAGGATGTCTACAGTGAACATTAGGTAATTTTAGGCTTTGCAACACGTAGTTGCCATGAATTTCCTACATTTTCTAAAAATGGTTAATTTTATGTATCAGGGTTAATGGTTAATTTTAGGTACTAGGGTCTGGGACAGGATGTCTAAAGTGAATACACGTAATTTCACGCTTTGGGACGGTAGCATTTGTGCATTTTCTAAACTTTGAAAAATTACGACAACAGATTCCGCCCCATCCCGTCAAAATATGACGCAAGGGGGGTACCTGATGCGTCAAAATTGGACGCAAAGGGACCTTTGAAAAACGTCAATATGTGACGACTCGGGAGTGAGAATGGGTTGCATAAACAGGTCTTCTGAACGGACATCAGAGCAGGCAGAACTAGAAAATGGGAAATTTTATTATCCGAGAATTATTTTGTGCATTAAATTGAATGAACATGGTCTGGATAGCCCACAGACATACCATAAAATTTTCTAGGACCCATAATTGGTCTTCTTTAATTTAAAGCTGCTGTTTTAGTAATTTTAGCTTTCTGCTACAGTTTTTGCTGGTTTTAGCTTCTAGATTTTATTTAGCTGAATATAGCTTTTACCTACAGTTAAATTTTTATCTTTTAGCCATGGTTTTGCTAATTTTAGCTTTTAGCCTTTGTTTTTCATCTAAAAACTTCCAGTGTAATCTGTCTAAACAGAATCAGATCAGAATCAGAATCAGTTTTATCGCCATCGTCAATGAACAGGATTCACAGACTAGGAATTTGCTTCTGTCATGTGACCAAACATACCTCAAGGATTTGCTCAATATCTTGGGGAACAAACTTTCCAAGAAAGCAGCAAAGCACACAGAGAAATGCAGAAACATTATAAAGGCATTAGAACAGAAAGGATAAAAAGGTGAATGAAAGGAGAACTGACAAAGTGGTGGGTGAACATTTTAAACAAAAAGCATGCAGAACTGTGACCTTTAGTCCTCACCTGAAGCACTGGAACTGACAAAGCAAATACTTGAATACAGCCAAGAAACATCATGTGCACAAAAATATGTAGATGGAAAGATGTAATACATCTGTGTTAATGTAAAACATAAACTGCTGTGTTCATGCATTACTTTCATAAATTAAGCAGTTTTAAGAGCTACAGGAACAGATTTAGATAATTTAAATTAAAAGCCAAGTAATGCATATCACCTGCCACCTTTCATCCCAAGACTTTAAACTAAGCTCATTTTATGATGAGAATGGATGGAGTTACAGCTGTTTTAGTCTAACTTTGTAAGTAATCAGTTAAATCTCATGTGATACTGTGTGAACTTGTGATACCAGCTTGGAGTATGTGTTGACAACATTCTCACTCCCGTCTCATCACATATTGCCGCTTGTCCAAGTTTCCCTCTGCGTCCCGTTTTTACACATCAGGTTATTGACGCATGGGGCTTTTCTGGGTTTGCGCCACATAGGGTCTTTGGTTTGAAGTCCATGGTCAGTATTAGGGATCAGGATTACTGGTTAATTTTAGGTAGTGAGGTCAGGGATAGGAGGCCTAGGGCTAATATAAGTTAAATTTAGGTCTTGGGATGGTTAGTTGTCAAGCATTTTTCTACACTTTTCAAAAATATGACAATGGGCTCCTCCTCCTTGTTCTCATCTCATCAATAACTGACGCAAGGGGGTTACCCAACTCGTCAAAACCGGATGCAGGGGGAACCTTGGACAAGCGTTGATATGTGACGAGTTGGGAGTAAGAATGACCTGGTGTTGAGGGATAACTCTCAGCTACTACCACATCAAATTAGCCCTGTATATGTGAGATGATCCACTTTGGTCATGGCTAAGTTAAAATATCTTTGGAGGCCATCTTAAATCAAGTTAATCAGTTGCAGCTGTATATCCATTGATTACTTTCTGAGAGTTTCATTCAAATCTGTCATCAAATATTTTGTTAACTGACACAAATAATCGTTGCGGCCCACGACTTTTCTGGGTTGCACCACTTAGGGGTCTTTGGGTTGGGGGTCTGAGGTTAATATGAGGGATCAGGATTAATGGTTAATTTTAGGTACTGAGGTCGGGTATAGGCTGTATAGGGCTAATAGAAGTTAAATTTAGGGTCTGGGATGGTTAGTTTCACGCATTTCCTACTCTTTAAAAAAATATGACAACGCGCTTGTCCTCCTCTGCCTCATCTCGTAAAGAAAGCTGGACGCAGACGGCTACCTGACCAAGAGTCAATATGTTGACGAATTGGGAGTGAGAATGGGTTGGACTGAGAGGAAGCCAACCTGTTAGCACAGCTTCAATAGCTTGAGGTTGTGACAAAAAGGATCCAAGTAGCAGTGGTCCGCCACAACGCGAAAAACCAGCCCTTAAGTTTTCTTAGCGAAAATGTATTTTTCTTGACAAAGAATTATCAGCAGCTCCAAAAAACACCAGAAAACCTCACATTCTGGTCTTACCTTCACAACTGAGATGACGAAAGCACGTATTTGTCTGTCAGGGACTAATACGTGGTGGCATTGGAGGTTTGGAAGAGAACTAAACAGGTTTTTAAGCTATGTCTGGATGGGTTCATTCTCATTAGTAGTTTACATTTGAGACAATTTTTAAACATATTATGAATAATAAGCATGTCATTAGGAGTCAGGTGAGGCTTAAGTCTTTCATTGTAATAAACATAGTAAACCTTTGCAGACTGGTCCAAATAAATGAAGTACCTCATCTTGCTGTCCATCACTCTCAGACTGGTGAGGGTTTGGGTAATGCTTGAGAAACTGAGCCACGTACGTCATAATGGATTTCTCATCGGGCTTGTCCACATCCACATCTACAGAGCAAAACAAACAAACAATAAGCTAAAAACTGTCCTCCCAAAGACATAAAACTAAAACAAACAAACAAAAAGGATGCTGAGGCTTTAGTTGAGCTAAATAACACAAGTAAGTGATAACTACTGTATATTAGTATTAAATTTAACAAAACAACCTGCAGAATGTAGAACTAGGGGTAGAATACCAAATGGTAACAGCTGCTAACATGAGGGACAGATGTAGCTGCAGTTAATTATAGTGGTCCGCTTTGATCCACTCTGTTGGCCTGATGTTTATAAAGTAAGACATGTTACTGCAGCCCTTTGTATAAAAGGCTTCCTGACTTGACTGTAAAGACAGAACTGCAGAGTCACTGTAAGCTGCTTCACCTTCACAGCTAAAGGTCCGAGCTAAATTTACAGCTAGAGAAATTACAGTCTGTCAAAATATTTGCTAAAGGATTTCACTGAAATTTGCTTTATAGGCTGAAATAGAGTTTTAAAGCTCAAAAGTAAAAGGGGTCAAATATACGTTAAAAACCTAAAAAACTAAATTCTAGCTAAAAGCCATAAAAAGCAAAACATTAGCTAAGAGTCAGAAAAAGCTAAATGATAGCTAAAACACAAACATAGTAAAAGTCTGACAAAAAAATTAATGACACAAAACACTAGTAAAAAAGCAAAAGTCTAAATCTAACAGCTAAAGTTACAGAAGAATAGCTATCAGCTAAAAGCAGGGATCTCAAGTTTTGATCTGAGCTTGGAGTGAGATTTTGAGTGGCTGACCACTGCTGACAACTCATTAAGAAAAGTTCATATTGGCAGTCCTAAAAGCCACTAAGGGACGTCAATACTTAATTTGCATATCTGGACATTTGCCAATAATTGTGATCTAGGCTGTAGGTCATAGGGGGCGCTAGAGGGGCCTCAGAGTGCTGAAGGGAAGATGAGAAGGAAAAATAGCAAAAAATTCATCTTAGAAATGTTTTAAATCATTATCATTAAATTTAATCTGTTTTTCAATCATTTTAAAACATAATTTATAGAAATATACAGAAATGTTATTTAAGAGAGCAGTTACATTTCCAAAAGATAATTCTTTAACAAAATATAATGTTGTTTGGGTATGGAGGTAATTTGTTTTTTCATTATTCAATCAATCAAAAAACAAATTAATAAAAAAATACATTTTAAATAAATAAATCGCTGGGAACATGAAAGCGCCTGCTGCGAAGCAGGAGGAAAGGAGAGTGGAAAAAGTTCAAAATTTATTTCTAGCGGCAGAACAGGTTGGAAGATGGCTGTTTGATGTTWTTTRTTGTTTTTTAAATCATCCTACAGGCTCTGACATGTTAGATAAATTTGAAAATGAGGTTTTGAAAAAATCCGTAAGACTTGAAAAAATCCGTGAGATTGCTCTATACATCCGTAAACCTGCAAAATGACGTAAAATCCTTATAACTTACRGACAATCCGTATAAGTTGACATGTATGTATGTCTGCACAGACCCAGAAAACTCAGCTATCTGTCTGTTAGCAATGTCTGAGGTGAACCCCGGCTACAGCCTGGATCTTCATGTCGCAGATCGAGTGCTTTACCCTGGGAAAAGTTGGAAATTGAGCTGGGTCGACCGCTTGAGCTCCGCATCCCGGGGGAGGAGCTAAACCCACCACGTCTAGTTGCATGTTATCAGGCATACAAATGATTGATAAGTGCCTTCCAGCCTACTAGGAGGTAGAGGAGGGACAGTCTGCACACAATGTATGGGACTGATAACCGCTCGGCCTTTTAATGTATTGTCAACATTCAACACGAGTGCAAAAGGAAATCGCTTCAGTCAGCACTAACCAATATGGACACGTCTTACATAATTCCTCCTTAGGCCCCGCCCCGGATGTTCAAAACATTTTTGAGTTCAACCAAAAACTTAGAGCATAAACCAAAATTTTGAGAATCAACCAAAGATTTCTGACGTGAAAAAAAAGTTTCTGTTTTGCAAAAAAGTTTTTGATTGAAAAATTGTTTTTATTTAAATTGATTTTTTTATTTTTTTGTGGTTGAAAATATTTTTTATTGAAACATTTTTATAATAACTTTTAATAAGTTGTCTAAAACATTTTGGCGTGACAGGGCCTTTAAAACCAAATGACATGAATACATTTTGTGAGGATATCAAACCAACAGTCTGTTAGATGTCACAGAGGAGAAGAAGTGACTGAGGCTATGAGTCAAATGCAGCCAGGTCCAGGGATTTATATTAGAGAAAATGTCAGAGAAAAGACATCACAATAATCTGGTGGGTGGGAGCAGGTTTGAGCATTTGCAGCGGTCTCCTCTCACCTGAGTGCAGATGGGTTTTGCTGCGTGAGGCTTCAGAAGTAGCTGCGAGTACTTACTTTAAGCGCTAACATCATGTGAGATCTTCTTTTGAAATGTTAAAATGCAAACCCACTTTAAAAATAGCCGGGCTGTCCCTTTATTAAATGCGTAATGTTCTGTTCAGGGCACAACCCCGTGACAACAGAGGGTGTCCTGTTTTTAAACTATAATAAAAGCATTATTTGTGCGTGCAACAGGTGGAAAACAATCAGTATGTGTTGTAGTGGTGGTCTTGCACTCCTGCAGCTTTATAATGAGGGCAGGATGGGTTCTGTGTGACTGACAGGAGTGACTCGGCTCTGAACGCACCCCTGCATGTGTACAGGGCTTCCAATGCAGAAAATCTGAACCTTTTTAGGCAAAGTGGGCAGTTCAAGAGAACCTCCCGAGCCCCCTGGTTACAGGTCAGTTCAGCTAGTGAGGAAAACATCAAAGGGGCAATATCATGTAAAATCAACTTTTTTGAGTTTTATATCATGTTATAATGTTATACTCTCATAAAAAACATGCACAAAGCCTTGCTCTGACTCATTCATGTATGTTTGAGAAATCCTACAGTGTTTTTAGGAAGCCATGCTGAGGAGCAAAACGACAGGTGGGGACCAGAAACACCTTTTGGTACCAGAAACACCTTTTGGTACCAGAAACACCTTTTGGGACCAGAAACACCTTTTGGGACCAGAAACGCCCCTGGGACGTGTCTTTAAGCTGAACTTCCTCATGCACCCCCACCCCCTCGCACACCCCGCCCATGACTCCTGCAGGCTCTCAGGTGAAAGTGAAACTTAACTGTCTGCTGAGCTCTCAACATTAGTTCTCACTCAGTGAATCTCTTTTCAGATTAAAAATAAAATTGAGGAAATGTATTTTCAGATGCCAAGTAAACTGCATCATAGCACCCCCCTCCCCCCATGAGCGCAACCCCAAAAACAGCATCTTAAAAACAGCTAAAGGTGACACAGATACTTTATTATGGTATAGTATTTAAATATATGCCTGAGAAACACATAATATTGGCCCTTTGAGCTTCACATTGGTTTTTCTTCAAAAAAAGGCACTTGCACGTCATGAAATGCGTGTGTCTCATGATAAATGCATGAAACTTGTGAGCCCTGGCTAAAACTATTAAAGGTTAGCTTACATATACTGTAATGTAACAAAATTCTAGTTAAAAACGACATGTAGCAAAAGGTTAGCTAAAAGCTAAAAGTAGTGTTGTGGAATACTTATTATGTATCACCTTGACACTGTCCAATTGTTCATATCTTATGATATCGTCTGAACGTCATCTTCAAGCTGACCTACTTCATGTACCAGAACGAGGCAGATTCTGATTGGTTGTTCATTATCACATGATGATAGCTGAAGGTATAACAGTTCTCTTCCGCCCTCAGTCGGGGGCCCACATCTAACAAACT